ATATAGTCACTGGGGGTGTACTATTTACTCCATAACAGTTAAATAATAAAACTTTAAATTTTTTCCCCAAAATTAATAAAAATTTATTATATTATCTACGCACTGGCATAAAATCAAATGTACTTTGTATCCCCCCACCCTTACCTGTTTGCACTTCTCCCCAAAATTTGGTTTCGATCGTTCGATGTATGGCTATTTTAGAGAGGGTGACGGACGGACTGACAAAAGTCACAGAATTTTATATATAGATAGATTAAAATCAAATTTAGATGCAGTATAATATTAAATGAATTGAATGGATTGTGTAAACTTAAACTGAAATATAAAAAAGTATCTATATATATATATATATATATATATATATATATATATATATATATATATATATATATATATATATATATAGTATGGCTATATCACTTGCACTGCTTCAGATTTATCAACATCGACCTTTTCGAAAGGTCAGTCTCTCGATGAAGTGAATGCCAAAATTCTGGGAATTTGATCAGCATGCGTGAATCGAATTTTTGCCGCTATTTATTGTTGCAAGAGTGATGGACCTTATTCTATTACTCTGGTATATTTTATTTCTTATATAAGAGGTTGCTGAATATGGTCTTGATCTGACCCACTCCCCCTGAATCTGTTCAAACGAGTAGCCTTTAGATTTCTTGGATGGACTGAGAACCTATCAACACTCCCTCGCATATATAAACTTATTCTTAACAAAAGATATTAGATAACGTTATAATGTTACTATCTTTGTCAGTCGATGGCCGTCTCGTTCTTCCATCACGTGTGTGCGTCCGCCATTTTCAAAAGCAGCTGACTTATAGCAAGAGATTGACAAAGAATAATACCCAAACAACGAAGAAGAAGATTACATCAAACGACATCCCAGGTGCTGCTAAACTCATCACTCTACAGTGCACATTGTATTCCATTGGGTTTCGTAGTCGAGAACGAAAAGGGTTAAAGCCGGCAATCAATAATGTATTTATAGAATTCAGATCATAATTTCCCTTGAGAAATCGGATCATTCGGAGTGTACTCAAATGTAGAACCGACACTATTATTAAGTTACAAACTGGACTGAAGATGACTATTCTTCAAATTAGTGTCTTTTACCGGTTTTGCGCTAACACATTTTGCGCAGAGAAATGTCATTTTTGCAGTGGCTACGATAACACACCCCAATCGAAAAACAACTTCTAGAATCAAAATATTATAATTTTTTATCGTGAATTTTGAGTAGTGAATATAAAATATAAGATGAGTTATTGCGCAAGCTGTAAATAATAAGAAACACAAAGACAAAGATATAATGGGCTAAATTCTGTTTTACTTCACAAAAGACAAGAGAAAGAATTTAAGACAAAGAAATAAAGATAAAAAATATTCCAGGTTTTTCAACTTAAAAAAAAAATCTTGGCACTTCTTCAAGTTCTTGCCAAAAGTAATCTTCTCTCGTCTTTCACGAATGAAATCAGCTGGTTTACGTTGTTCGCGCATTTTTGTATTAGACGGAATTGCATCAAGGTCAGAACTGACCCCCACGATCACATCAACTAACATCATTATTGATACTGACGAAGCCTCATACACTGCATTAAATAAAATAGAGGAAAACGAATATAAAAAGATAATATCGAGCCAAAGCCTCCTTCGAAAATCAACATTCAAGATGTATGTAGCCTGATATCACGAACTGATGATAGAAAGAAAATAATTATAGCCATGAGGCCGGCTAAGCCAGCAATTATTTTTATTCGACTTTAACTAATTGTCATTCAGAAGGCTATTTTATTTTATTCTATTATCATGAAATTGTGATTAAAAAAGTTAATTTTGTCGCTAATGAAACTGCTATCAATAACATACACACAAAAAGAAAACAAGTAAAATGAAAAGTCGACAAGGATGATTCACAAAACTGTGGGTGCTACTCATTAATAGGCTTGTCTTGCGAGAAAAAAAGTCTCTTGTCGTATCATAAACACAGGTTCCAAGTGCTGATTTTGTAAATTTCGATCTTTCGCTAGAAATAATTCGAGTTTCTGTCTACATTTCTGAGATGATATATTGTAGTTATTTACATTATTTGAAATGTTTTCTTCCTCTTTATTGCCATGTTCACGACGTTTTTGGCCGTTGCACCATCCGACCTTCTTCAGGTGATTGTAATTTCGAACTAAACCCTTTATTTCGTTCACCAGAGCAGATTATTCTAGATCCACATGCCATGCCTCTTCCGGATGTCGCAGTTATCTCCCTTTAATTCAATCTTCGATATTTATGTTCATCAATACCAGGCTACAGTAGTGGTGGTGAACAAAAGCTTTTATCACTTTAATTAATATATATATATATATATATATATATATATATATATATATATATATATATATATAATATACCACTTATTTACGTAATATATGTATATACAAATACATGGCTACGTTATTAGACTACAAAACGATGTTCTTTTTTTCTAACCTTTTATTTGAATAGTGTGGAATATTTACATCTTGATTATGTCTTTATGTTATCTTCGAGTTCATCTGCTATCCATTTTAATTGTTGCTGCTGTTGATAGACTTCAAATGATGCGAATTCTGTTATTTGATACACTTCATTGTAAATGTGTAGCACCACCCAACAATGTTAAAGAAGGCCCACACAGTCAACATAGTGTTTACAGATTTTGTTCAAATTTAAGATCATTTCAACGAAAATTGGCGAATTTTGTCTATTTTTGAGACACCATATATATATATATATATATATATATATATATATATATATATATATATATATATCTGTTTAAATATTGTTTTTAAGTATACTATATTTATGAGTTAAAGTGCTCAATATCGGGGATAGAGCGTATGTAAATATAAAAGTGGACATTGAAGTCGACAGAAACTGGTATTTTATATAATATATATATATATATATATATATATATATATATATATATATATATATATATATCTTTTATATTTTTTGTAAAAATATGAAAATCTATCTATTTCAAACAATATGGCACATTGTGACATCACAAACTATGTAAATGTACATGTTTACATTAAGATTAAATCAAACAATGTCGGGGACAAGGCCAGACGCTTGGAGTATCCAGTGTGAAATTAAGTCTTTAGCTATGACTTGATAGATTAGTGGAAAAAAGACATGGCTCCAAGAAGCTCACAACCACACTTGAAAGAAAAGGAAATAATATTTGGTTTCGTTACATTTTTTTTACAGTGAGGTTGACCGTGTACAAGGCGCGGGAGCCACTCGAGGTAAATGGTTACGAATTAAGAGAGACAGTTTATGCGGATCGGTGGGAAGGTAACGGTTAACCCTAGACTAAAACAGGTTAAGAGTGTAGTGATCAGGGAAACATCCCCTTGGGAGTCGGTTCCACAGAGCAGTGGTTCACAGAAAGAAACTGCTCGAGTAGAACTTGCATCCCACAGAGGGAATGAGGCTGGCTTCCTACAATGTGAGTGGTATGACGGGTTGAAGTTTAGAACTGGTGGAATTAAGTTGAACGTAGTTCGTCTGAGCACTTTTCCGTGAAGTAGCGATTGAGCCATGAGAGGCTTGCTACATCTCGTCTGTGAGTGAGGAATTGCAAGATGGAAAATAATTAGTTACCCGCAAGCAAAATAGTCAGTTACGTGCCATGCGTGATACACGCTTAGGTGATCATGTATCTTTCGATACATGACTGACGAGACAAATTTTTCTGGCAGTAGGTTGCCATTTATTCTGCGGCCATTGCTATCCAAGGTTATCCTGCTATTTACCCATAGCTGAAGGGAGAAGAAGAGGATTCATACCTTTCCCAAGGGAAAAGCATGTAAGTGAATGTAATGTATTCGACTGGAATTCGAGCTCGGCTCTCCGATTCCTCAATCCGAGCTACTATCCACTGCACCACCGTGCCTCCTCGACAACAGTACGCCATTTTTAGGCCCGATCTAGATCTCAAGGTAGAGGATATCACGAAGAGTCAGGTACTTACTGGACCGGTACAGAAAACCGAACATCTTTTCTGCATCTTTTGCGATGGATCGTTCCGCTTGAGTTGCACTAGTCTCTCAAGGCACGAGGTCTCCCCGAGGGGACATCCATTCATTGTGACTGGTGGTAGTTCGAGGTTCGATCGCAGTTGATTGAATGTGACTAGTTTGGTTTTTCAAAGCATTGAATGTAACCAGACAACCAACTGATATTTTAGAGCTCGGTCGGAGGAGAGATAAGCTGCCAATCTCTGATCATCTAGTGTTTTGGAGGTGCACCCATATACCGTTCTATCACAGCATAGATATTCACAAGTGATCGGAGTATACTCTTAGGCAGATCATTTATGCAAAGTAAAAAGAGGATTGGTCCGAGAAGTTGCCCTGGTGTACGCCTGCGTTGATTGGCAGTTGAGAACTACCTTCAGGAAGGACTTTATTATTGAGAAAACTATTTTAGCGATTCCGCAGACAGAGAACTTGAGCAGCAATCCTTGGTGGCACACCTTGTCAGAGGCCTTTGAAATGGTTTGGTTCTTGGGGTGTATCTGTTGTCTAGGGCCTCGTTGATTCTGTGAGTAATGGTCATTAGGATAGGACCGATTGAAATCCGTACAACTTGTTGCTCAAGAAGCTGTTCTTATCCAGGTGGTCAATAACCGTTTATAATGAGACCATTTCCATTTTTTGAAATTGAACTTGGAACTCAAAGGGAAGTAACTATGTGTTATAGGTAAAAGTCAGCAGATGAGAGTAGGAGGAGGTGTTGTTATGCTATGATGATAATATTTGCCATCTTGAAATTTGTACTGTTTTGAAAGGACTCACTTCCTTGGGACAAGACATATGGCAGAAAAAAAACTTGTTGGATGCACCATGTCACACACGAGGATAAAAACAATGAGAAAAATGGAAAATATCGATTTTATTTTCACACGACGCAAAAATTCCTTCAACAAAAAAAGCTTTTTAATCAGACGCAATCTGTAATAAATATAACCTTGGGCTTTGATATATAGATGTGAATATGAGATAGAGAGAGAGAGAGAGAGAGAGAGAGAGAGAGAGAGAGAGAGAGAGAGAGAGAGATAGAGAGATATAGACACATAAAGAGGTATAGAGAGATAAAGAGATAGATAGATATAGAGTGATACATAGATAGAGATAGAGAGAGATGGTGATATAGAAAGATACACGAACAGAGAGATGGAGATATAGAGAGATAGAGATATAGAGATGGAGAGAGAGATAGAGGTTTAGAGAGATAGAGATTGAGAGAGATCGATATTTAGAGAAATTGAGCTTTAGAGAGATTGAGATAGATCCATGAAAGATTGAGATAGATAGATAGATAGATAGATAGATAGATAGATAGATAGATAGATAGATAAAGGTATAGAGAGTCTGAGATAGATAAAGGTTTCGAGAGAGTGAGATAGATAAATACAGAGATTGAGATAGATAGATAGATAGATAGATAGGTAAAGGGATAGATAGATAGATAGATAGATAGATAGATAGATAGATAGATAGATAAAGGTATAGAGAGATTGAGATAGATAGATAGATAAAGGTATAGAGAGATTGAGATAGATATCGAAATAGATAGATAGATAGATAGATAGATAGATAGATAGATAAAGGTATAGAGAGATTTAAAAACATAGATAGATAAAGGTATAGAGAGATAGACTGAGATAAATATATGAAAGATTGAGATAGATAGATAGATAGATAGATAAACGTTACAGACACACACACAATCTGCGTTTTATAATAAGTAAGATTGTAAATAACCCCCAACAGTTGATTCGATGATGTTTACAAACAACTTTTGAAGACATTGGCTGTCTGTTCTTTTTTGGAGGAAATCATTGATATACGTCATTAGGTTCGTGAATTATCTAAATCTCTCATTATCTATATACCTCTTAAAAACTTTTCATTTGAAAAGCCTTTATGTAACCCAACATAACATCAAGTGTTTTACCTGAGCCATGTAATTTAATTTTTAAGTCATTTAAATGTACACTAAAATCAGCCAAAAAATCAGTTTACAATCCCACACTATGTCAGTTCAAAAAGAGCTTTGTATCATCTAAGCATTCAAAAAATCGTTTCAGAATCAAATCTCGGCTAAAGCAATGTATTTTCAGTATTTTCTACACAACTTTTGTCTCATTCAGTAAAATTTGAAATTATCTTTTATTTAAAACCCTAGCAAAAATGTAATTAACAAACTTGTTAACTGTTTGAATCACTTCCTGAAGTTCCTTTAGTCCAGCTTTTGCATACAAAGCCTCCTTATGTATGATGCAATAAAAACCTATTAGTGGATGACCAACATTTTTTGCAAACAGATTTACACATCCTGCCTTACACCAGTCATGCTGGGGGCAATATCTGTTGTGGCAGATACTACTTTTGAAACGTGTATTTGTCGTGTAGATAATTCGTTCTCAACTGCTTTACATATTTTAGTAGTATACTCAGGGAGTGTTACAAGGGCAACAATCTCTTCATATATTTCATCACCCTTACAAAATCAAGAAAATATGGCTACCCTGGCTGATGATGTAATGTCCGTGATAAGACAAATCTTTCATCAGTTGTTCAGCTTTCCAGCTTAAGTATCCTATTCTTAACCGATTTCCTATCCACACACAAATCTTTAATGCGCTGAATAATCTTTTTTGAAACATTATGAAAAATGAAAAGCGAACGTTCTAGTTTAATATACTGAGTGGCTTTCCATGTTGGACAATAACTTTTGAAATCTCAAAACTAGCAGCAACTAAGTTGGAACCGGGCCTACCTGAAATAAAATTCATAAAAGTATCAGCCTGTTTTTTTGTCTTGCTCATTTCACGAAAAATACATTCTCTTTGTTCCACCTCAGTTTTATTGCTTAGGTTCTTATGAACATTTTCAAAATGTCTCTTTATAAAAGAAGTCCTACAAACGATAGTTTCGGAACAGAAAATATATAAGGCTTTATTGTCTTTCTTAATCATGCCAAATTTTTCAGTCCAATATTTAATCCTCTCATATCCTCTTGATTTGAATGACAGCTGATGAACGTGACGTTCTGTAAAGGGCAGAAAATACAAATACATGAGATAATGATTATAGATGAAAAATAAGAAAGAATAAAGATAAGCCAAAAAGCGAATCTAATAAGTTTCACGTGCCAGAAACAAGTCATCGGTGTGCCGCGTTTGGCACGCGTGCAACAGATTGCTCACACCTGCTATATATATATATATATATATATATATATATATATATATATATATATATATATATATATGTCTGTCTATCCATCTATCTCTCTATACCGCTATCTCTCGATCTATCACAATCTCTCTATAACATTATCTATCGATCTAACTCAATCTCTTCTATGCCTCTCTCCTCTCTCTCTCTCTCTCTCTCTCTCTATATATATATATATATATATATATATATATATATATATATATATATATAGAGAGAGAGAGAGAGTGGTAGCTATATATGGACATATAGAGGTATAGATAGAACGATAGATAAGATGGAGAGAGAGAGAAGTATAGAAAGATGGATCTATCTATCTATATCTGCATAACTGTATCCATCTGAGGTATATAGGAATAGGGAGATAGATATAGGTATACAGACAGACAGATAGATAGATAGATAGATAGATAGATAGATAGATAGATAGATAGATAGCGGAATACAGGTATACATAGATGTATACATGTATAAATAGAGGTATACAGGTATAGATAAATATATAAATAGATAGACATGCCTGACGATTGCATCTAGCATGAAACAGCCTGTCGCCTGTAAGTGTTGACTTCAATGTTCACTTTTATATTTACACACGCTCTATCTCTGATATTGAGTACTTTATCCCATAAATATAGCACATCTTAAGACTATATTTTTCATATATATATATATATATATATATATATATATATATATATATATAAGAAAAGTTTCAAATTGAAAATTATAATGTTTTATTTTATGAAAGTATTTATTTATTTATATATATATAAAGGTATAGACATGTAGGTAGAAGTTCAAGGTATAGACATATAGATAGATTGATAGAAGTTCAACTATCTATCTATCTATCTATCTATCTATCTATCTATCTATCTCTCTCTCTCTCTCTCTATATATATATATATATATATAGATAGATAGATAGATAGATAGATAGATAGAGGTATAGACATATAGATAGATAGAAGTCTAGATTTAGAGATCGATTGTAGTATACATATATAAAGATAATGATATCTATATATATATATTGATAGAGACATAGAGGTATAGATATATAGATAGATAGAGATATAAAATCGAGGTCTAGATAGAGAGATAGCAGTACAGATAGAGAAATACAATGATTGAGATAGATATAGAGATAGATATAGTATCACCAGATTGAGATAGAAAGATGTTTTCATGTATAGGCAGATATATTTATATATAGATAGAGGTTTAGGTATATCGAGAGATAGTGGTATAGAGAGATTCAGATAGAGGTATAAGAAGTATCGATAGAGATATAGCGGTTTAGATAGATAGTTAGATAGAGGTATATATATATATATATAGATAGATAGATAGATAGATAGATAGATAGATAGATAGATAGATAGATAAAGGTAGGAATATATATAGAGAGACCATTATGTGTTTGTGGCACACCTGCTTTGCTTGAAATGAATTGCCTTAAAAAGAAAGATAGATGTATTGAGAGATTCTGATAGATAGAGAGAAAGACTTATTGAGATAGAGAGATTTAGATAGATGGGGTGTGAGATATCTATCTATCTATCTATCTATCTATCTATAGAGAGATGAAGATAGATAGAGAGGTGTAGAGAGATAGGGATATCGACATATACTACTCTATCTGTTTTTCTCATGCTGGATCTATAACGATGATTAAACAATAGTGCCATCGCTGTCAGCACAATTGACAACTTTTATTTAGGAGCTCCTATCAAACTTTATTAGACTTTTTAACAAACAAGAAGCCAATATATCGTTCTGTCAACTAGACACATAATCTAACCTGCAATAAACATCGGTAATTTAATTCGGGAGCGATACCAGTGAATACAATTTCAGTATTGATTCGAAAGTTTCGGATCATCTCGGTAATAGTTACATTTAGATAATTAAATGCTTACATATCAGCTGTAGCTAGGGCACCTGATTCTAGACAGAGGAAGTTTTTCAATATTGTCTAGGATCATTTGACCCAGTTACATCTAATGATATACAACGAAGAATATTACTAGTCTCGACTGCTTTTTGTAAAAGGAAAACTATTAGTTAAGAAATGTTAACAAAGCGAATAGTTAGTAACAGGATAGTACCTCAGACATAATAAGTTTCAGTCTGCTGTCCTATCCACTGAGACAAACTTCCAAGCGTCTAGACTAGAAGAAGAGTTAATGTCGATAACATGCCAAGATGAAAGAGTTTGGGAGGAGATTTCCGCAACTGATGCTCAGATTAGTAGAAGGAGCGAAGGGCGTGTTTCTGTTGGAGATGTTGGCACGGAAAGTTGTTGCAAGTGGCGGCAAACTGGTGGCAAAGACAACAGAAGAAATGAATTCGAAGCGAGGAAGTAACAACTCCATATCTACAAATTCTGCTGCTTCAATTACAATTTTTATAACCTACAAGAAGAAAGTAAAAATATCAACACTTCTATTAATAGAAACAATTTATAATTATATATATCATAAATAATAAAAACTGTTATTTCAGCAACAATAACTACTACTATTAGTACTATTAATAAGAATAATAATGAACACGTCTAGGTAAACATAATCTTGAACCAGAAACTGATTCGTACTTAAAAGATGTCGAAAACAAAGCAATAAGAACTATATAAAGTTCAAAACCCAAATCAGCAAAATCAGACCGTGTGTAAAGAGAGAAAGCACAGATCAGAGATAGAGAGAGAGATAGAGAGAGAGAGAGAGAGAGAGAGAGAGAGAGAGAGAGAGAGAGATACGCACAGATCAGAGAGAATGTGAGCGCGGATAGATCAGAGACGCGCACAAATCAGACAGAGAGAGAGAGAAAAAGAGAGAAAGAGAGAGAGAAAGAGAGAGATAGAAAGAGAGACGCACAGAGCAGGGAGAGAGAGAGAGAGAGAGTGTGTGTGTGTGTGAAAGAGAGAGCCGCGCACAGATCAGACACATGGAGACAGACAAACGCGCACAGATCAGAGGGAGAGAGTGAGAGGGAGAGAGGGAGAGAGGGAGAGGGAGAGAGAGATGCACAGATCAGAGAGAGAGAGAGAAAGACGCGCACTGATCAGAGTGGGGGAGAGACGAGCACATATCAAACAGAGAGCCTTGCAAATATGTATAAATTTAGCTGAGAAAAAATTACTGGGTAGGAAATGGTGATCTACTGAGAGAAGTGACGCACTTTTGACTAAATAGATTAAAATCATCTTCTTTGTGCCGTGTCTGTTTAGGACGTTGGAAATCATGGCCCTCCATAACTTCCTGTCCTTTGTAGCTCTTAATAACTTTTGTCTTTTTGCCATCTCTCACAAAACCTGCCCCCCCCCATCCATTCACTCAAGTTCGACAGTTAGGTTGTGCAATCCTGTGAATATCAAATTTTCCAAGACTCCTTTTCTCATTATATGCTCTAGAAATTTAAATAGTTTCTTCCTGATGTTAAGTATAAATGTCATTTTTGCTGCCATTGTTTCTAGAACCTCATCTTGTCCACATGTTCGAGACATGGTATTCTTAGTATCTTTCTGTAGAAACACATTTCTGTTACTTCAAGTCTCTTTCTCATCTTTGTGGGATTGTCCAGCATTCAGTGACATATAGGAGGACTGATACTACGTAACAGTTCAGTACTCTTTCTGTTGCCCGAAGTCTCTTCTTCATCTGTGAGGAGATTGTCCTGCATTCTCTGCCATATAGGAGGACTGATATTACGTAACAGTTCAGTACACTTTTCTTTGTCTCTAATGAAGTTTTCCTCTTTCTTAATACTTTGCTTAGCTTTTGGAAGACCAATGCGCCTTAAGATTTCCGTGTCGCACTTTGCGTTCTCTTTTAATACGCTCCCCTTATATCTAAATTATTGCTCCTGTTTGATTTTGGCATGTCCAATTTTTAATTTGCATATTGGACTGTTCCTTTTGCTAACAACCATGCATTCACTTTTCTTGCAATTGATCTTTAGTCCTTTCTTCACGCTTTCCTTTAATTCCTTCTGTAAGAGTTGTTGTAGTTTCCTTTCTGTGTCTACTATCAACATTGTGTCATCTGTATATCTTATGTTGTTAAGACAGTGGCTTCTAATAATGAATCCTGGTAGGACTTCTTAGTATCTCATAATTGCCTCGCTGTACAGGTTGAAAACATCTAGTGCGAAGGCATCCTTGTCTTATATCCCTTTTTATTTTTTATATTTTCTGCGCCAATTTCTTATCAGTTTGAGGCCAGTATAAATTCTGGATAATTCTAATATCATTCCCATATATGTCAAGGACACCTAGCAGTTTCAGCAGTTCTTTATGGCATGTTTTACCAACCGCTTTTGCATAATCTATAAAATAGGTATATATCTATAGGTATATATCATTTTGCATTTGTAGTGCTCTTTTTATCATTTCTGGGCATAAATATGCCATTCCTTGTTCCAGTGTCTTTCACGAACCCATACTGTTCTTGTCCAATTTCCGGTCTGATTCTGCTGTGTGTTCTATTTATCAAGACTATAATCAGTCTGATAGAATGAAACATAAAATCTTCAAACGGATAGACCAAATTTGTTAGATATACTCCAAAAAGAGATCGTGCCAAAGAGCAGAAATAACTGAATTTGGAGACCCAAGTGTCAATCTGAAAAAATGAGTAAACAGGCAAGTATCATGAATTTTCTAGAGAGCTGTGGAAATCGTGAAATAGTCATACAATCATTATTGGAGCACTGGGAATGGTCCTGAAGTGTTGAGGAAAGAGGCTGCAGGAAGTAGTGATTACACAGAGATTTTGAACCATCCAGACGAAAGCGTTATTGAGAAAAACGATAAAAACGAGAGGAAAGTGTTGGAGTATTGAAGAAACTTGATATCATTCAACTTCTAATGTAAGACAACAGTTTTACTCTTGAATCAATGAAAATAACAACAACAGAAAAAAAACACTGCAAAAATCAATACGACTTTTGATAATGATGGTTGGGTGGTTGATTTTGTTTACTGGCATATCAACCTCTCGGGATTATTTACTGCCAAAATCTAAATATTTTGAACACAATTTTACGGCTTCAAATAAATACGTTTTAAGCGTGATTGTATGCCTTTAACTATACATAAAATGTATTGTTGGTTATTTTGATATAAAATATATGATTGGTAATTTTATAAAATTGTATTGCTGGTCATTTTGCTTTAAAATTGTATTGCTTGTCATTTTATAATATAACATAGACTGCAGGTCATTTTACTATATTTTTTTTTATTTAGTGTTTCACTATTTATTCATAGCTGGGATCCTAACAGATTTTACCATCCCTGGTCAGGATGGACCTAGGAACAACCGCAATTAAGAGGCAGTTCCACGCTAGTTCTGGTCTGAGTTTCAAGTCAGACCTGTCATACGGTCCTGATTGAACCATTTAACTCATATAAAAATATCAATACAAATTCAAGAGGTATAAATTCGCATTGAGGTAATTCC